AGTAGTGGGAAAAAGAAACTTCAGCACAATCCTAAAGGGAAAGCCACCTTCATTTATCAAGCAGATGTTGCTTTTCTGCTGCGCTTTCCATTCTGTGGGCCTCTTTCTTGCCTGAAGCCATTGCCACAGGGACTGCACGCGCAGGGGCTGCATGCATTCCTGAATACGTGGATTTGGGAGAAGGGCGAAGGCAGCGGGGGAAATTGGAGCCCTGCTCGAAGCCCTCGCACGCTGCTCATCCCGGCAGATCCATACGGAGGTGTCCCTGTGCGGTGGGTGACTTGGCACAGCCAGTGGGTGCGTTGCCCCCAAAATCGCTCTCCAGAGAGCCCAGATGTTGTCTCTCACCAAGGGCATGGCCCAGATGAAGCCACCCCCTCAAAGCTGACCCTTCTCCGAGCAGGAGCTTGGAGCAGAGACCAGCTGAGGTTCCTTCCAAGGCGATTTATCCCGTGATCCAGATAATCCATTTCCCTTCACCTGTCCTTTCTCCAAAGTGAGGTGCCTTCTCTAAGCCATCCTGCCATCTTCTTAGCTGCTCCAGCCAGCACCCAGATCATGCCTCGTTTCCAAATGGATAGCACCAACCCAGGGTGAGTCCGGGCCAACATCTCTGTGCTCGCTCACATGAAATAAATGACTATTAGATCAGCTGCAGTGGTGAGGGTGGGCGGCCATCCCTCCCCGAGGGCTTGGACGTGCGAGCTCCGTCCATCTAACCACTCGCAGGAGGTGAAAGGGACTTCAGGCCGCTTCCCGGCTCCAAGTTTCACTGTGGCGCTTGTGATTCACAGCTCGTGTGTCCGTTCCCCGATGGGAAAACTTATGAAAGAAACCCATACAGCAAACAGCTGTAAATATTTGCATTAGAAATATAATTTGCCCATTCAGCACGCATTTCCCAGTTAAGCTCGCACGGGGCGCGCGGTGCTGCCGTCTCTGCACGGGGCAGCCCTTGCAACATGGGCCACATGGACCTGTTGTGTCATCGCCCATTTGGACCCGAGCCAGCAGCTCAAAGGTTCCTCGCTGAAAACGCCGGCAAATCCTGTGAGCACAACAACATTAGGGGATTGCTCAATTTGGCCCAAGAGAGGGAAAGCACATGCTCCCAATAAATATTAAGTTATGAGGGATCTGCTCAGTTTGCTGTATCTCACCGCAGCTCTTGAAGGAAGAGCCTGGCAGGCAGATGGTGAGGAGAGCGCAGCGTGAAGAGTCCCCTATTTCTTTGTAAACCCCAGGAAGAAGGAAGGGATGCTCAGAAATAATTGGCTCAACGTAATCAAAGTATTTCTGGGTCTTTGTTTGCACCTGAAGGCTCCGCAGCAGGGCCTGGGCAGCTCTGGAGGCGCCACTGGCCCCAGGAAAGTCATCATAGACCCTCCTGGAGCTTCACTGGATGACAGTGTCCGATGGTAATTATCAACACAGAAAACTAATCTCGCTGGGGAGAGTGTGGGAGAGCCATTGGATCCATTTTGCTCCCTAGTGCCTATATAAACTGGATCCCCTGAATCTCCTCTGCATTTTGGTGGCCTTTGAGCATTTCTGGGTGACCCTGGGGATGCAGCTCTGCCAACCTGGCACTGCTGGCATGGGTTCTCCCTGCCGATACACCTGACTCAGCCGCACCTCTGAGTTGCCCCAAGGAGTCACATCAATGTTTTTAAGAAAGACCCACAAATTTAGGGATTGCAGAATCAACATTTGGGGTTTCCTGGAGTCCTCATGCACAGGGGATGCCACGTTTGGGTGTCTGTGCAAGCTTGGTGAGTGTTTGGGAAGGTTCAGGTCTATCTGCTGCTCTTCCAGCCTCCTTAGGGTGCTTCACTTTGGTAACAGCTTACTTACAGCTTTGCTACAGAGAAGCTAAATTTAAAACAGTGACTCCATTACAGCCTGAAAACAGAGCATTCCTTCTCCGGTTGTGTGCTTTGGATGGACATCAGAAGCCAAACCCATGCTATAAAATCCTCTGAGTAAAAACAATCTTCTATTCTGATCCTCAGGGCACAGAGGTTTGCTGCGGTCTGAATGTTCAGTTCCTGGACCTGCGTTCAACGGGCTCTGGAATGGGGTTTGCCTGGAAATGAAAAATATAAACACCAGGAGCAAGTATCTCTGCAGTTTGTTCCTTTAAACAAAAGCTGATTCTGCTCCAAAGAAGTGGGGGAAGAGAAATTATTTCATGGACAGAGAAAGAAAAAGAGCCTTTAAGATCTCATTATTTTCCCCAAAGTTCCCTAATTCTTCGGGGAAGGGGACATGTGTGTGCAGCCAGCCCAAAGGTGCTGGAGATCTCGCCCTTCTCCCACCCAAGCTTTTGGCGTGGGGCCAACCATAAATGTGGTAATTGGGGTGATTTTTGGTGTGGGACTGACTTTCACGGGTGCAAACTCCTCCTTCATCCCTGAATTGCAGCACAGTGTGGAGCTGCTTGCAGGGAAGTACTGCCTCTCAGAGTCCTCATCCTCACCACGGACAACGTGAGACAGGGCCACCAAGGAAGACAAGTAGAAGGTACTTTGCAATCATGACTCTGATAGAAACCATGGCATGTTTTTTTCTTGAGGTGAGTGAAGGTACAAGTGCTTTAATTTGTATTTCAGTATCCACAGGGAATACCCCAGCAGACCCCATGCCACAACACTAGGGACCCTTCCAACCTACACTGGTTTCCAGAGGGTCCCTAGGTGCCCATCACTCCACTGCCATTGCTCTAGGTCTGTCTGTCCCCATCCAAGTCCACTCAGGAGGTGACCACGGGACAAATGTGAAATGTTGAATGGAGAAATGTGAGTTTTTTTCCTAATTTTTCCTAATTTGAGGCATTAAAATCAGCCTGCAGCACAGGAAGGAATAAATCTCTACCTCAGGTAGGTTCGAAGTGGTTGCTCCACCTTGTCTTGAGTTCCTGCCATTTGAATGGATGTGCACATGAAGGGGACGCCTCTACGGAACCTCATGCCTCTCATTCTGAGGAAATGCCCCTTGACACGATGACGGAGGCAGCGCACTTGCCCAATCCCTCCTGCTTCCCTGCTCTGGGCTCCCTGGGGACAGGAATATCAAATATGGTTACAGGAGAGCGATGGGAGCAGAGCTCTTAGCAGGCTTTCAAAGCAGGCAGCACAGATGAAAGCTAAAATAAAGGCAAGATATTTTTTTTCTCCATGTAGAAGAGAAATTAATGGCTCCCCTAAGACAGTAGAGAACCTGCAAGTTGGGAAGATCTTGGCAGCCACATTGGGGATAGAGATGAGGCTTTTAAAGGCTGAGACTGACAGATGAACTGCTCTAAGTGAGTACCTCTCTTCCACCACATGGACATGGGGTCTCTTAGGGGCTTTAATGTGCGGTTAGCAGAGTTGCCTGGTCATGTTGGCTTCCGTGTCCCCTCTCCTGCCGGGGCTGCAGATAGATCCCTTGCAGCACTGAGCATCATCTCCAGGGCTCCTAGGTGCCCCAACCTTCATGATAGGGATCCATGAATGTTGTGGGAGAAACAGACTCCAGTGTTGCAGTGTCCCAGCTCAGCCCAAATCCCCTAGGAGCCCAACAGCATCAATATGTGGGCTCGGGAAGAAACCTTGTCCCCAAGCAACTTCTCCAACAGATGGAAGGGGGTATCAGGACAGAGATCTCCTAACAGAGGTGCTGATGAGCATCACACAGCTTTCAGGCAGGGAGGGATGCATGAACCTCATGTCTCCAACACAGATTGCTTGTGACACCCCTCCAGGCCCTGTAGATGGTTGTGATGCTCCCTCTGATGTCCTGCAGTGGAGCTGCGTTCATCACTGTGGTCCTGAAGGGACCAGCTCCATAATGCAGTAAGATCTGACCCTTGGCATGTGTCCTATAATGAAATGAGAAGGAAATGCCCAGAGATGACTTGAAATGGGGTCATCAATCCTCAAGGGATAGGGGAGCCTAGACCAAAAGTAGGAGATAACCTCGGAGACATCACAGCCACGTTGTGGAAAGTGACGGGCGCCCTGGCTGGATGGAGCCCCCTTGCCGGTGGGTCTTCCTGCATTGACACTCAGTCTGGAGGCAGCACAGGGAGAAAATGTGGATGCAAGGGGTTAATTCCACAGCGGCATCCCACAAAAATGGCCCTGGTGGGGGCTGCACTGCAGAGGTGCAGTGCAGCCCCTCAGCACAGCCCCGCACTGGGTGCACATGGGAGGGTCCCCAGGGTGCCCCGCTCGGAGAGGTGTCCCCACTTCCAGGCTGTCAGGCCTGGGGAGCCCCAAAATCACTGCGTGAACTGGTGCCGCCTTCCTCTAGATGTCACCATCCTCCGCCTTTTCTGCCGTCACTCCAGATTTTTTTTTTTCCTTTCTCCAAGATCCTGCTTTTTTTTTTTTTTTTTTTTTTTACATTTTTTTCTGTTCTCTTTCCGGCCCTGTGTGT